ACTATGGGGAGGAAGTGGGAGGGGAGCTGCTGCATTGTAAATTTTGGTCAATGACATGAGACATGTGAACTGCTGTATGAAAAGTGAATTTACCCAAATCCTAATAAAAATAAAATAATAAAATAATGGACTAAACCTAAGCATGTTGTTGTTATGTGCCCTGGAGTCAGACCTGACTCATAGCGACCCCTCCTTGGGATTCTGAGACAGAATCCCAAGAATTAGATTGCCCAACCTTCCTTCCGAGGAGTGGCTGGTGGGTTTGAACTGCCAGCCTTCTGGTTAACAGTCAAGTGCCTTAGGCCGTACGCTGCCAGAGCTCCCAAACCTAACCCTGTTGTTGTTGTTGTTGTTATGTGCCGTCGAGTCGGCCCTGACTCATAGCGACCCCTCCTTGGGTTTCCGAGGCAGTATCACTACGGAAGTATGTTTAAGTAGTGGTGTCTAATTTGGGTTTTGGGCTAATTTAAATGTAAGTTTTAGTGGTGAAATGGAATGACAGTTAAGTATTGTTTTCACCTCCTGAAAGTTTTAGAAATTCTTAATGTAGAGTCCCTGAGTAGGCTTTAGGTGGTTCAGGTGGCCTTAAATTGAATTGCGAAATTTTGTCCGTATGTATATTTTCTGAGGCAATTCCCTTAGTTCTCATCATATTCTAAAATGACTTTAAGATTAAAATAAGATTTCAAACAAACAAATAAACACTGTCAGGAAAACTCTAGGTCAACCTCCTGACTTCTATCTGGAGTTGAATGACAGTGCCAACTCCTATTTATCCAACATTTATGGGTTTTGTGTTTTGACAACAGTCTATTTGGAATACTAAATTTCAAGTAAAAAAATAACATGAAAAGTCACATGAAACATTTTCCTGTGAAGATTCAGATGCTACTTTAGAATCTTTGATATTTCAGGGTCGCTGTCAAGGGCACCAACTGTTGTTGGACTCCTCTGCATTCCCTCACTTTTGGATGCCCATCCTGTTTTTACAGAACTGCAGCCATGGGAATCATGTTAGGAAATCTGGATCGGAGACTCCATGGTTTCTATGACCCGAAAGGGAAGACTGTTACTCTGGATGTTCAATTACAAGGGCATGATCAGCTGAAGGGAGAGAGCTTACTGGAGGTTGCTTTCCTAACCCCAGCTATCTTAATCCACTCATTTTGAGAGTAAGTTGTTTGTTGTAGTTGTTTTTAATTTCACTTTGGTATACTAACTGAAAGTCTACAAGTGATAGAGACAAGTGAATAATGCAAGTATTTCAGGAGTCTAATCATTCTCTCTTGGTATAAATTCTTTAAATAAAATTTCATTTAAGGAAAGAGAATATGTGTTTTTAAGAAAAGTTGAAACAAGAGTACAGAGAGTTTTGAGTATTTACAGCAAGCTTTATTGGGGAGGGCTGCAGTTCTGCATCTCAATTTACTTTTTTATTACCTTGTATCACTGGGTAGCTGGAGATAGTGGTGGGGGGACAACAAAAAGCCCACATAGTGATTTTTAATGTATATCCATGTTCTGGTTACCTAGTGCCACTCTGACAAGAATATCTACCCCAAATGGGATGGCTTGAACAAACGAGTTTATTCTTACAATTTGGAGGCTTTAAGTCCAAGTTCAAAGTGCTAGTCTTCAGGGGCTGGGTGAAAGCCCCTCAACCTTGGGGTCCAGCTCTGCCTCCTGCTCCCGGCCCACTGGAGCTAGAGGCTTTTCTTTACTCAGACAGTTGCTGGCTGCTGAGACTGACAAGCCTAAGGTTGACAAGTAAAAAGGCACAGTGCCGATGTTACCAAACCACGTGGCAGGCCATTAACTCAAGTCCATTGAAAGTCCCAAGGTTGGCAGAGCATGCCAAGCTGCTGAACAACACAGGAAATGG